TGTCCTCGAAAGTGCCAGATGAAGCAGAAATAATTAGCAGACCTGCAGGAACAGGGGTTCCCAGCCAGCAAGGAGAGAAATACAATAATAAAGACCAGCTTGACCCAAAAGAGTATTGCAGACATACGGCTGAGCTCTGCAAATCACCCAAGTGTGAATTCTCGCCCCTTGTGCAGCGGGCGAGCTGCGGCAGCCCCTGGCAGCAAGCATGAGACCGCACTTGGCGAACGAAGGGCTAGCGCTGCTTCCATCCAGCAATAACCATCCCTCTGATAACCCACACGGCTATTTCCTTCCCTTGCCACGAAACAGATAGAAGTAGAAACCCAGCGTCGAGAAAAGAAATGTCACACGCACCGGGTTTTTTCTTGTTGAATAAGCAGGAGAGCGGGACGCACGGCATTTTCAGCTGTTAGCACGGCTTTACAAAGCCGCCTTTCAAAGGAGAGCGGGCATCACGAGAGATGGGCCGGAGTCCCAGAAAGACACACAGCGGGGACTTAAGCACAAGCTTTACGGGTCTGCTGGAGCGGGAGAAGTGTCTCTTTCCCCTTAGCACTGCAGCCACCTTGCACGGCCAGTTAACCTACAGCGGGAGGGACCCTGACCGTGGGAAGGTTCACCAGTCCCGCTTCTGACCGCTCTAAAGGCGGAGGAGAAAACCAGTTTTTGGCTTGGATCCCAGCTTGCCTCATCGCTGCTGCTGCTAATTTTTCACAGCTATCCGTTATATTCTTGCTCTTTTGCCTTTGCTTGACAACCCCGGCAACATGGGCGCTCGCGCGTTGTGGTTTCTATGGTCTTGCATACAAACCGAAAGCCGGGCTTAATTCTAAGTCGGGACTTCTGGCCTCCCACGGCTCTCCACTGCAGCGGGCTGGAAATTATGTAACAGCTTTGCTTCTGGTTTTAAGACTTCAAAGCTCTCATGGGGTTAAATGAGGCAATAAGGGTCCACTCACCATCCCTCACCCGCCAGCGGGCAGCGGACTGGAGAGGCATCAGCTCCGGGCATCTGATTTTCTGCGTTTGCAGCCTGTGGGTGCTGGGGGAGGTTACAGTGCCCAGGAAGAGATCGGGTCTCTCTGCCTCAGCAGGAGACGGTTTGGAGTTGATATGCATGAACTGGGCAGTTCTGCTAAAGTGGTTAGCTGTGAAATTGCTAGCATTTCCATTTTCCCCCTCCTGAGTTTCAAGATTAACAAGCCCCCAGGGAGTGAAAAGAAACAGTTCATCCTTTCCAAAGGTTTTGTTTCGGGCCATTTGCAGAATCAGGAAGACAACACATCAATTTATCAACACTCACTGTTGATATTTCAAAAATTTTCTCTACAACCATGAGGGTCAGACAGCATGAAAATGAAGGGAGCTTATCCAAAAAAAAAAAATAATAATCTTACAGTTGCACCAAAGAAGTCCCAATGGCCGACACACCTTGTTCCTCCAAATCCCAGCCTCTTTCCTTCCATAGTCATAGGATTCCTCCCCGTTGCGGCTCAGCCTCCGGAGAGCTAACCCAGCAGGGAGAGCAGGTGGTGCCCTCCCGGGTCACTGAGCAGAGGCAGGGGGTACAAAGTGCCCCTTTTTCAGCAGCAGGAAACGATCGGATCAGTTCGTGAGTAAAGTCGGTACTGGAAAACTTGGAGCACGAAGCATTGCCTCAAGGCAGATCTGCAGCAAATATCACAAGTCTCAACTATCTGGCATTCGCGCTCAGACTCTGATCGATGGAGATGGTTTGTAGATATAATCGAGCTGCTAAAGCAACAGATTTATAAACACAAATCTCCTTCAGAACGAAACGTCTGAGTTCCCACCGAAACCCTTACAGGAATTACGTTTCTCTTTCAAATACAAAACAGACTCAGTAACTCTGGTATGCTGACGGTTTGGCAGCAGAGAAAGACTGCCTAAACCCCGTCCTTGTTCCTAAACATCACCTAAAACAGGTCATTTGTGTGAGCATTGGGGAAAAGGGCTTGTGAGTAATCAATTCAAGTTGATTACAAATGTAGATTCGTCTCACTATAAAAGCTCTGCTCTATTTTAGTCTTAATTATTCAGTGGTTAGAAAAATCACGCGTGTGTGTGTGTATAAAATACACATAATGTAAAAGCCAGAACTCTTAAAACAATGGAAAATGGGATTTGAAAAATTATCTTAGTGGCTCCTGTTACAAGGGCTGTGGCTTAAGAAATGGAAAACATTTAAGTCAATTTATGACATCTAAATATGACATGATCCAGTTAGTTGCTCTAATCGCTGCTAGGATATTTAAAACTGCCTGGTTACACTTGAGAGCAGATCCTTCAGGGTCCATTTCAACCTAAGAGAAGAATAAATTTGGTTTTCAGGATAGCTTTTCAGTGGGCCTCAACAAGCGGAGGAGAAAGTCACTGCCAAGGTGCACTTCCACTCCACTCCCCATCCTGGTGACCCCGCTCCCATCACCTCCCTCACCTCAGAGGTGATGAATACAAGGAGTCAAAGGAAGTAGTTGAAAACATTTTGGGTTTTTTTGGGGTTTTTTTGCTTTTTTTTGTTTTGTTTTTTTTTCTCCTTTCAAGGTTATTTTTCAGCCAAATCAGCAGCCCGATTCAACTCCGCTCAATTTGGTGGCATCAGCAGAGAAACTGAACCCGCAGGCAACTGAAATAATGTCAGCCCTTCTTTGGCACATGAATAGTCCTTTCCCACTCCATAGCCCAAGGATTTTTGAGTAAAGACATTTGGGAGGGAGCCGTAACTTTTATCACTGCCACGCGCTGTCAGTCTAGAATCAAAAATAAGTCTGCATCTTCGCTCACAGCGGGGAAAAAAAAAAAAAAAAGCTCATTTCCTACACTGGCCTGTATCTCACAGTTTGTCTCATGGCTTGCCAGCACTAAGAATTTTACTTCAGGCTACGTCTGACGGACACCAAGTTACTCCTTTTAACATTGAAAAACAACAACGACAAACAACAGAATCCCAGAAATGGAGTCCCGGTGGCTTCAGCGGGAGAACGGCAGCTGCAGGCAAACCAATACGTACGGGCTGAGGTATTTGCACCGGTGCGAACAGACGGACTGACAGAAAAACAAAGTCACGTCCTTGCACCGCACGCTCTCCAAGGCAAAGGCTACCAGTCTCTCGGCCGCGGTGCGAAGTACCTGCACTGCCATTGTGGCCTCTGCCTGAAGCAGTACAGCCCTGCCGTTAGGGTGAAAGAGCACAGGTTTTTTGCTCCTGCTTTTGCAGAAAACAGTGCTGGTGTTCAGATCCTCTTCCCAGGACAAGTTCGGATACCCTCAGCTTGCGAAGAGGGATGCAACATGGATATCCAGCCCCCAGCAGTGAGCGGGCTGTAGTCTAAGCAGTCTGTTCAGTTGTCAGCTCTACTGCTATGACATCTGAGGGGTCTCGGCTAATGCCGCTAGTCCTGGCGTGACTGGGACAGGCTAGAGGTTTACAGTCCGGAGGAAAAGAACAACACATCCAAACCCCAGTGCTGGGAGCCATCCGGTCCCCAGCAGTCGTCAGCTCCTCTTGTGCAGCGACACGATGCAGCTGTGTCTTACTCAGCGCTGGAACCTACCCAGGCCTCTTTCAGTACACTCTGAATTTTCAAAACCAGATAACAGTCGTACGTCAGCACCTCACATCCCTCAGGACCGTGCTCAGCTCCACGCTCCGTTCAGGCTTACGGATGCATGAAGTTGCCTCCGGACATTTTTCTGCTTATTCCAGCCTCACACACCATGCCTAACACCGTAATACCTGGGTACCCGATCAAGACTTTTCAGATTTCAATTCGCCACGTATATTTAGTTCCAAATTTTCATTTGCCTGTTTTTAAATTAGCAGGAGCAGTAGTAGATTTCCACAAACTCACAGCCTTTCCGCCAGGTTGCCACCAGCACCCGCCTCTTTCCAGTAAACGACTTATGCAGATAGGGTCTAAAGAAGTGAAACATAACCACCCCTGGGGCAGGAGTTTGCTTCTTATTTGACAGCACAGCAGAAGGGGGGGGATTTTTTTAAGTCATGTAATCTAATACTGATAGGAAACAACACCAGTCATCTTTTTCCCCTTTCTGAGCTGTTAGCACAGTACACAGCAGCATCAGCCACTTCAGAAAGTACTGAAATTTTTTTTCTCTCTCTCTCTTACTTAGAGGGAAGAAAACCCTCTTGTTTCCAGCAGCCACCTCCTCTTTTTTTTTTAATCAACCCTACACTGAACATCTTACAACACTGAAAGCCATCAGCGCTCTTGGAAAACCATCTAACACACTTTCAACGTGGTTACATTTGAACCTCTGTCTATCTGGACAGTATCAGTGAAAGGCAATAACACTTATTCACATTTGTGATTGATCAGGTCTTCCCTCGTCCTTCATCTTTCACTTTTTCACAGGTTGCATTTACATTTGTGGGACTAAAAG